AGTTGGCCAAAAACCCTGATTCCAAACCAAACAAGAGGTGTACCAACCCCCCACACATCTTCCCGGTTTTGACAGTGCTCACCGGCATCGAGACGGATTGAGCACCTTGGACGTTTGACCCCGTCGAAAAGGAGTATGATCCGATGAACTGGACACCGGCTCCCAATGGATTGCGGATTTCACACAGTGCCCCGTTTCCTTGCCGGTCAGGCTTTGGCCAGCCAAAGGCTCCACTAATGACCGCCCTATAAAAGCCACCTACTTTGGTCTAGGCAACCCGGCAATATTCTGCTCACGAGCAGATCGTATATATATATATGTATATATATATATATATATATATTGGCAACATGTCACTTCCTTGTTAAGCAGCACAAGCAGGAATCGAACTTTGATGCGATAATTCCATTTTATGTAAGATTTGTTGGTTACGCTTATTGAAATTGTCACCAAACCTTATTAAGTTTGCCTCCCGTCCCTCCCCCAGTCCTCGGATACATCTTTCAAAAGAGAAATCACTCGTACGGCCAGGTAGTGGTCAACTGCAAAACTAGGATTGAGTTTCTTTGACACATGATGTTGGCGGTAACTTTGCTACCTGTCACGATGTTGGCAAAAGGACAAAAGTCGTAAATGTGCACACAATAGTTTGAAAGCTTCCGGTGCAACTGGAATCAGTTAGCATTTTGAACCACCTAGTTCATCCCCCCACTCAATAGCCGCACCATAAGGGAGTAATAAAATAGCAAGGATTTGTTTTCAAAACAGTAGGTAGGTGTATTTGAAACGTGGTGCTCAAATACCTCATAAAAAAGTGCTCCTCAAGACCTCCTAATGAAGAACACTTTGTGATGTACAAGAAGCAAACACCTACATACTGCAATACTATATCTTTTGTAACTTAAGACGCCCCAGTTTAAGTTTAGTCTAAAACACTACCAGAGAATCTTAACTCATGGACATTGATATCGTTAATTTTTTTCTGAACATCTTTGGACAAAAATGCACAGAAAATGTTTCTTGCCTTTGGTTCGACATTACTCTTGCGTGAAAGATTTGCACCCAGCCTACTCACCATACCTGCTAATGATGGTTTTATCTTCCTAACCTAGAAAGACAATAAAAAATTCTACTATCGAAAGGCAGCACCGAGGAAGCGAACTGACTATGCTATCAAATCTTCCTCAAAGAAATCATCCGTATTCAAACGTCTATAAGACAATACAATTTGCGTCAAAGCAAATTTAAACGACGGCTTAATTTGTATTGGTAGATGCAAGCAAGTTGGCAAAACGGGGCGACATTTGGACGTGATACACAGTGACCCGAAAGGTCATAGTTCCCGTAGGCTTGAAGTACCATAAACAGGAGACACGCCATCCAGTTAGCTCCAAAGATGCATTTGGCAGAATTGATATGTACCGCAAAAGACTGAACTCGATAGTTTATAAATAGGAATAGATGGTGAGTAATTTGTCTTTGGCCTGGTCTTGTACTCCCTACTCGGTCTCCCTTTTTATCGGAACGTCGAAATGTATTACACAATCAGTGTTGTATACATAATCACAGTAAGACTCAGCTTGTCTTTTGGGTTGTCCAATTTCGTGTTATAACGTCTGACTCTATGCGATAAAATGCGGGTTGTCTTCACTAAATTTAAGCGCTTGGATGTGGACGCAATGTCTTAAATTTCACCGGTTGCGTTTTTGCAATGATATTAACTGCAGGGCATTATTAGTGAATTCAAGCGGTTGATCACTTCACCTAAATTTCGCTTTGTTCACGGCGTGAAACATTCTACTAGGAATTTCATTTTATAGCTATTTTTGTCTCCGACACCGACACCGCCAGCAACAACAACAACAACAACAAAACCGCTAACCACAACAACAAAACCACAACATACAAATGTATTGTATTGCTCAACTGACAGAATATACGCAACTTACCGCGACATGCAAAGCAACCTCGTTCATCCACGGTATGTACATGTACATTCGATACCAGCGAGTGATGATACCGGCCACGAAAAATCCGAGTAGGAAAGAGATGGGAATATCACCTTTGGTCTTCTCGCAAAATTCCACGATTTCCTCGAAAATTCTGATTGTTCAAGAAGTAAAACAAGTTAATTTACAGAGTATCAGATTTGATAGCCGTCAAATTTTAACACCCTAATTATCCTGGCTTCGGCGAATCCCTTTTCAAGCCGTTACAATCACATTCTTTTCGGAAACAACTTTAGTCGCAGGAAACAGGTAAGTGAATCACTCATGAGTCTCAGGCTCATTACAGCACACATGACTCTTCCGCCTTTTCTGTCTGATCCCATTGAAACCGTTTCATATGAATGTGATTGTAAAGGCTTGAAGAGTAATTCATCGAAAAAAATGTTTTTGATTCCCTATCCGGTTCTATCAACGTTACCCGCCGTGTTCCATAAGGGTCTGTATTTGGTCTCCGACATTCCCTGTCATCCGTAAATGATCTACCGAATGTGCTAGGGCAAAACGCAACGCTGTTTGTACACGTAGCCCAAATGTGGGATACAGCAACAGAAATTCAGGGCTCGCTATCACTTCAAGAAAAACGAATAACGCAGCTTATCAATAGTCAATGAAGAACAACAGTAAATTCAGTGTTTCTAAATGCAAAGTTCTATCCTCAAGCCACAGGAATAGATTCTCGCATTTCCTTGGAAATCACCAGCTGCCACATATCTCAATTTAGAAGCACTCAGTCATAATTGTTCACGAGAACTTAAGCTGCTCGATCAATTGCGCCAGGACTTCGTTCGCTAATGTGAAGTATGTCGGCTTGCTTAAGCGAGTCTGGAGTGCATGGTTGCAACGTTATGGTAAGATGCTAGAGCATCCACAAATAATTGCCAACTAGATGGTCAAAGGATTGAAATGCTTCACCTATTAGGAGACTTTACGATTATTGAGATTATGTTCTGCTCAATACCACCAAATTCGAGGAGAATTGATTTTGGCGTACCAAATAATGCAAAACCCAAACCATTCATGTCTGCCGCTGCTCACGTTCTCGCCCAACATACACCTTAGAGGATCCCGTTTCACGTTACTGATTCCAAAGTGTTCACTGGAATGCCAGCGTCAATCTTTTTCGCCCAGAATGTGCAGTACTTGAAACGTACTTTCATTTCACTTCGTTTTTGCACCACCTGTTGAACTTTTGAGGCGAAAAATTAATGAAACCCTGATATATTTCACATACCTACACAACTAAAAACAGCAGATTAGTGTAAGACAATAATGTGTTTTTTCGCCTACCTGGAATTCTGTGTGATATTTTATCATTTTTGCCGAGAAAAGATTCAAGTGAGTAAATATCCTCTGGGGACAAGAACATGACCTTGTATGTAATATGCAATGAAACTTTGAATTTGACTTTGCCTACAGTATGTTCTGAATCAATGTATATATTTCATGCTTTCCTTATCCTGTACCTCACTATACGACCAGCTGTGATAACATAGTGATTTATAATGGTTTAGCTAATAAGTATTTCTACACCAGAACAGAATGAAGGAACCTAACTACCTCAATACTCAGTTGCGGTGGTAAAATCCAGCGTTATGTATTCTAAAATACATATAATGATCCTAAAATATATTAATTTTTAGAAGCTCTGTAAGACTCAAAGTCGCACACAAATTCTCGCACGTTAAATCTGTTCCAATCTAGAGATTTATGTTCATCGTCCACAAAAACCATTTTAAATTTGGAAGCTTATTTATAGTTGACCTTGCCAGAGACCTGAGAACAAGGGGGCTGTCCTGGAATGCAACTGAGGGTGAGTTTACAATGCATCAATCCATCCGGGAGCAGTGAAAGCATCAAAATACTGGAATCGTGGAATCTATAGCCCGACATTTTATAGTCCATTTTTCAACCCAGCCGAAAGGGCAAGATTAAATCGACCTCTTATGTGAAAAATAGATATTTTTTGTTAATATAGTGTAACTAAGAAATACCTTACATAAAACAACTAATCGTGCGATGAAAGCCCAAGCAAAAACTGTGATCAACAAAAAACTACTTTTCATCGAATGGTTCCTGTTATGTTGATTATCACATATCCAGTGATAGAAAACCGCTTTCATTACTCATTCTTCCGGTGTAGAAAAGAAATGTCATTGCTGTCCCACAGACACAGGTGTGAAGCGAAGCCGAGGTTTTCTGTTGCTGATATCTGTTGTTTATCCCGTTCCACATAACTAGCCAAACGAGTCCCTTCTCACAGCTACGCTCTATATGATCCGATCTGAAAATCAGATGGTAATCTATCCGGGTGGGTGATGCGGCCCCTCTCGACATTACTCAGAGAAGGTATTGCTAAAACCGGTAAACCAATCTTATTTGTTTAGTTTTCTGTTCAGCTGAATTGTGAGCTCAGTGCAAGTGGATTATCGAGGTCATGGTGGTTGAACGGTTACGTTGGGTTTAAGCTTTATTTGAAATAAAAGAAAGCACAAATTACTGATCAACACTCAATACTTCAAGTGAATCCTTTGTAACTTCAAGCAAATTCAACCAATCACTTTCCAATGGGAACCACTAAAGATACTTGGTGTTTCGGCCGTCAAACGTTACCGATTGGACCGGGTCTGTCCAAACCGGGTCCAATTCCAATGAACTCTCTCCTACGAAAACAAACAAAAGTACATTTTGAGTGATTTATCAAGCGAGGAGGGAAGTTTCCGTGGGGTGGGACGGGGTGGGCTATTCGTCCCTCTCCCGACCCAGCCTCAAACTCCATGTCCATGATCGGTGATAAAGTGTGCCTCATAGACGCGAATGAACCAATCTGGCGGTAATTGACCTCTGTCTTTCGAGCAAGGAGGTCAATCATTTCAAAATGGATCGATAAATCGGTCGCCATGCCCAGACGTGAATGTGGAGCTGAATCATTACACGACTGGATTCAGTCTAGGTCCTCAATAACACAATGTGTAAATTCCATCGAGACCGAGTTTCTCTTGAATAATATCAATTCCTTTGAACCAAATGCAATCGGCAACATATTTCTGGTATTGAAATTCACACATGATAAGATACTTACCAATGGAACTACTATACTGTAAAAAATAACAGTATTTCACCTGAATAATATGATCAAATTCGAACTTATTCACTACCTAACATAAATCATATTTTTCTCTTTCATTCCCGGGACGACTATTACATTCAATAAACAATGCCAGTGACAACAATTTGTAACCTGCAGCTTCTCCTTTCGCTACTTAGCTTCATCGCGTACGTTATTATCCTTATTGCATCTTTTCACATCCTGATTGCATCCGTCCAATCCTGATAGTTTATTGCATGAGACAGATGGTGATAAGAATGAGTTACAGTTATCCATGGTCCCGATAGACGCTCTCACAGTGTTGCAATTGTCTTCTGACTGTACTCCATTGGAATTGTATCATGGGACAAGAAATATCAGTTTGATTTGCTTGTGTGATGAATTCCCTTCAATACTAAGTGAATGAAGTGTGAATCACTCGACACTTATTTCGAGTCTCATCAACAATGTGAACCCTAGTGCTGAGGTGTCTCCGAGTACATTGTTGCGTGCATCCACTTGCATGGGTTGTCTATATATTTGTGGCTAAATGTGCTGTATGCAGCCGGTTGGTCTATCACCTATGACAGGTTTGTTTAATACCCTGTGTTCTCATAACTCATAATGTGCCTCTTTTTGAGGATGATACATCCGAAAATGCACTACAGTCAGTTTCAGTCTGGACGAGAAATATTGTCTCTGCATAAAATATGCGTGAGAGATCAAACCAAGAATACACTTATCCTTCAAAGACAGTCACTGTACTTGCCTCAACTTAATACCCCATGAAACAATCGGTAGAAAGCTATCATCCTTTGTAAAATCATGGATAACAGAGAGTTACTATTATTACCACGAATCGTTCCACTGAAGTTTGTAGATCGCACAGATGTATCCAGGGTGTGAAAAGACAGATAAAATATGCGACAAAACTAATGAATAAATGTGTAACCTGTTTCTTTACGGATGGTGGTTGGGCAGTGTAAATAACAGACTTGTGTCTGTTGGATAAGAAAAGTGATTGTAGACAAATCTATTGTTCTGGGCGTTTAGGTCACAGGTCCTCCTCTGTGAATTCATTTTGATAAGAACCCTGGGCGATGAAGTTGATTTTCGAAGGGAGATGCTGTAGGTGATAGGCCTTTGCCAGTGACATGGTGGATAGGAGGCCAGAGTCAATCCCGGAGTTGAATGTAAAAATATCATTTCTATTAGTTAGTCAATCAATTCGAATTTGATCTTACTCTATCTTTGTACCATCGCTAAGCATCTAATCAGGTGTGCTTTTCAATGCCAGAAATATGTAGCCGAGTGTATTTGGTTCAAAGGAATCGGTGCTATTCGAGATAACCTCGGTCTCAATGGAATTCGCTCACTAGGCTATTGAGGGACTAAAGTGAACCCAACCAACCAACCGAGGTCGATTGCCTCGGTTGTCTAAAGTTCACTCGATCAACGGTTAAGGACATATCGTTCCTGAGTAGGGGGGGGGGGGGGGGGAGGAGCGAGGCTTGGAAACCCACTCCACCGAACCGTTCACAAGCTCAAAATGTACTTTTGTTTGTTCATAGAAAAATCAGTTCACTCTGACTGGACGTGGTTTTGATCGACTCGCCCGACTCGGTGATGTGTGACTGCTGACGCACCAATCGGTTTGCAGGATTCCTAGTAGAATGCGATTGGTTAAATTCACTTGATGTTACAACGGTTTCACTGGCAATTATTCACATGAAATCCGACTTGTCCTAAAGCCGTGTACACAATATGCCTATTGTTTCATTAGAAAACCTCAAATGTCTATCTCCTCATGCATGGAGAAACTGTGTCCCCGGATCCCTGCATCATATTCTCGTGAAGAATGCTTCCTCGTTCCAATTGGTTCATTAATTCTATTCCCATGAAACAGCAATTAGGTGTGTGGGCCATTTTTGACCAGAAGAAACATGGAAGATGCCACATTGACCTTGTTTTATAAATTGCACTCGTTCTCAGTGAGCTGACGATTCTCACTTTCTATTGTTTCGCAGTGTCCTTAAAGGCGTCGTGTGCATTTTCAAACGGATCATCAACAGGTTTGGAAACACAGTGATAGTGTGAGTGGTAGAGGGTTTCAACTGGAAGGGCAGGGGCGAAACTTACCGCTTCTGACTCTCGTTCATGGCAAACCGATAGGACAAATTGAGCACATAATAGGCCAAGATGTAGATCAGTAAATCGACCCAGACCAGTTTGTATAAGCTGCCTTTCCATCTGGTTGGGAAGTGAAATGGGATAAAATGGGCAATACATTATTATTACCTGCACAGGTCAAATGGAAATTTCGGTAGCAAGTATGCACAGCACAAGTGGTTTGCACGACGTCAGATTGACAACGAAAACAATGAATGCATGCAGATGAAAGAGTATACGAAATGAAATCAGTCGAGTACTATTAATTTGATAGGGGTTTCTTGTCCAGAATGATCTGGCTTTTCAGATCTAACTAGTTCCTCAGTCATAAAACAGTATTAGAACCTGAATTCCTTACCAGTTCAGTGAACGCCGTTTCAGCCTGCGATAATCGTGTCGTTATCTGTTTACGGCTGTCGCCTTTAGTCGTTCAGCATCTATCCAGATCCAGTTTGAAAGCCTTTAGTAGATCTCAATAACAGTGTATGTTCACCCACCTGTCACTGATTTATACCAATGTTTCTTCACATGGACTAGTGGTGCATTCTGGGATTAATCAGAATTACGCATGTGAATATTTTTGTTGACAGTCAGTTCATTTCATCGGATGAAAACAAAGATCCCAATGGTTCATTCTCTGCTAACTTCGGTTGTAGACTCACCCCACCCCTAGTCAGGTCTTCGATGCAGGCACCGGATAAACGTTCCCAATTTCACCTGCTATACTGTTTTATTTTCAATTTATTCTGAAATGCTACTGTGATCGGCATATATCACCATTGCGTTTTGGGGTTCAACAAATGGTGCTTGAAATTGTCAAGGTCCCGGGAGTCAGACTGTCAGGGCAGCATTCCAATCAACACAGGAAAGGTTTTATAGTACAGTTCAACCCCATGGACATGCGCCAGTCAGTAAACAGAACGGTTCCGCGTAGGTGAGTGCCAACCGATTGTTGATCCTAATCGGAAATAGTTCATTGTCAGCTTGATACATACATTAATCATAGCGATTGATCGTGTGCCCGGTTTGGGGGTGGAGCAGGCTCCGTACCACAAACCCCGAAGCATATCATTTTTATCACATCACCCAATTTGTTATAAGAACACAGGTTTCTGTGGAGTGGAAATCGGCGTAACCCATACAGGTGAAATAAGGTCGTGTGTGTGTGTGTGTGCGCGCGCCTACGCTCATAACGCCGATTCATCCATCATCGTGCGTCGTAGATCGTACCTCGGACAGGGTTAAGCCTATCAGAAACGTTTTGAAATCCGGTCGCCTGCGTGCGCGAGTGTAGGCTGATATGACACATGATCAATTGGTAAACCGTGTCCGAAAGCGTTGTTTCACTACTGTTGTTTCCATCACTTTATTCCAATCGCGCAGGTACGATATTATTGGCAAACCTGCCGCCAGTGACTTTATCATTCTACCGCGTAAATTTACCACTCAGGTGTTTTGTTATGAATTTGCCGTGCGGATATGGGGTGAGCTGAAAAGGTAGGAAGTACTGGACGGCTATTTCGACCTGGTTGGGTCTTATCCGTGCAGTGCGAATCCATCGACCTAACTGGGAATCGAACCCGGGGCCTCAAGCACACTAGTCAGTCGGCCAGCAGACAGCTGACCAAAACCGTTTCTCATTTGGAATATACAAAAGATGCATAACCTATCTGTGCTGTGGGTAAATCACTTCGCTTATCTGAACAGTGGTCTCCAAAACTTTCTTAAACTCTGAAATAAATTATTGGTCTTCCAATCACAGAGCATTTACTAGTTGCGTGCACAGCTAAATCAGATCTACTTATTTTATGTGAATAATGGAGGATTTGAGTCAATTTCAAAGGGTAAATTCGTCGTGTATATGGATGGCAAATGAAGCGTGAAATGACAAGTTAGGAAACACTTATATGAAAAAATCACGAACTCCGTTTTTCTAAGTAGCTTATTAAAGTTGACCAACTAATTCGCAGTAACTAATTAATTGAGCATCGTAAGCCGAATTTGCTCACTGTCCACAGTGATCCCTGAAGATTGCTATGATTTACCCTGGGGATGCAGATTTACTGTCTAGATTATTGGTATGCATTTTATTGATCAGACGATGGCGAAAAATCAATTTAGTTTGACACGATAATAGGAAAAGTTCGGTGTGAACCATTTACTGTCTTTGTAGTAGGCTACTAATGGGTGGTGAAATTTCAACACTTCACCTTGGCAGGACTGATAGGTGGTTGTTCCCGCAGGTCTAATACGTTAAGCTAACCAAAAATGAAATGAAATTTTATGGCTGCTAGGTAAAGGTTTGATGATTCATTGCCCTTCATATTAACTGTATTGCAAACGTCAAACAAGGTGACACTAACCAATAACTGGTAGAGATTGTTCATTCTGTAGAAAATGAGTTACGTTTCGTCTGCGGTTCCGAATCACTTAGGAATATGGGAGGCTTGTTTTAGCCGGATTAGAGTGCCACTCAATGATTCGCGCTGTTTAACTCATAATAGAAGATCATGTTTTTTCGGAGGGAATGACCAAACACTGTGCATAAAAGTACCACTGAACATTCACTCGAAACAACTTGTGGTGCAGTAGTAGTAGTATTAATAGTAATAGTACTAGCAGTAGTAATAGTAGTAGCAGTCGTAGTACTAGTGGGATTGGTGGAGCAGTGGAAAAAGAAATGTATATTTCCGTTCAGCCTATGTATTGGATGAGATGAGGAAAAGTAAATCAAGGTCGACACGGACCATATCCGACTAGTTCTAAACATTAAAAACGCAGTTTCGCATAAGCATTCTCAAAGTGAATGTGTAATTCTAATCACTCATCATCAATGTTTTCTTCATTCACTCCGTATTGATATAAATTGTCTGAATTGTGTGTGCATGCAATGTCCTCTCGTGGTGTTTATCTAGCGTCGTGTTTGCACACGGCTGTTCGATTACCTTTGCACTCAGCCACTTAGGTTTATCAGTGCGAGAGATTCGCATTGAATCAGATGACCAAGGCATTCGAGTTTTTGTTCAGACTTGTCTTGGCATCAGGTATAAAGTACATTTTCCACTGAAAAAGTGAATCATTTCAGTTGAAGTCATTTTACAAACATGGATGGGGTTAGCACTCAGAGGGATTTTTTTAAATTTACCCGAAACCAACCAGCTAGTCAGACAATTTAACACTGACCTGCCCAAAACCCCTCTCAAGTTGAGACAGTTTTCTTTACGTGACCACCTTACTCGCATTTACAAAGTACCTATAAATGATTAAATATGAATTCGAAGTTTTCTCTGGGCAATGGAATCCATTTCAACAATAACAAGAACTCCATAGAGAAGTGAATGACTAAACTGGTTTATTCCGGTCGTTCAATTTCAGATTTGGTCTTATCCAGTTTTATCCGCTGTGGCGTCACAAATTCCGTCAAACTATTATTTGTAAGCCGAATTTGCTCACATATACGTATTGAATCAAACATGAATTTAATCGGTCGTTTTATTTGTTGTCAAGGCAAATAGAGAGAGAACCATTTTACCCGATACCGACTAGCAAATAAAATGCGTATCGATTCAGAGATTGAACACATTTCTACAATTGGCGAGTTGTAAAACATCAGACTGGATTTTGAGAACACTCATAAACTGCGGAACCGAGTCTCTGGCAGAAGAATTACATCACGTGGGTGGATGAAATGTGTGTTATGCCAGTCGCATCCAAGTTTCATGTGAGCTTATGACTAACGATACTTTTGTGAATCTATTCATTTAACTGAAGTTTAGTTTATTTGCTGCCTGTGAGGTAATACAAAACAAAAGACAAATATTCAACTCTCTCTCTATATATATATGCGACGCGGTGTGAAACATTCCACTTCACGAGTGACGACATCTAAATTCTAGTAGATTGATCAGTTAAGACCAGACGCACGAGCAGTGTTCTGTCTAAATGTGCTGGAAACCTTTGTGATAACACACAAAGAGCACGGGACGGCCGTTTCCTCCTCGTTGGGACTCTTCGGCGGTACGTACTACTTTTTGTGTCCCTGTCAGGATTCGACTCGTCCAAGGTATTCTTTCTGTTAGAAAACTGTTCACTGCGTTTGACCACAAATATTGTGTTGTATTGACTTTCTATGTATGAAACCATGCTTGTCAGCTCGCTTCGCTTTTGTCACCCACGGTTCCTTGTTTCTGATCAAATGTCTCACTTAATTCAAATATGCTAGCTAAACGAGAATAATCATCTGAGATTCGATGAAACAGTTACACCATTTCCCATCAAGCTTTAGCCAAAACCCGAAATGCTTTAGCCTCGACCGCAATCGTTTAGCCTTGATCTACATTCCTTTAGCCAAAACCCGCAACGCTTTAGTCACGACCCGCAGTCTTTTAGCCTCAACGCACAACCTTTAGTCACACCGCTGCAGGCGAATCAGAACAAAAACTATCGAAATATTCCGAGGTCAGCGAATGTTGCAAAAATTTAAACTTTACAAATTTTGATATTGCAAAGCTTGACTAATAAATGAGAAGGTGTGGCGATTGTATGCTACGCAGTTAACGGTAGTCAACGGTATCAAATCCCGCACCACATAGTGATTGGAGTAGTTTTAGACGATGTGCAATCCTGAGACTGTATATTGACGAGACCAATTACAACATATGGTCCCTTCGCAGCTATGGAAGATCCAAAGTGGTCACCTGATCAAAGAGTTTCCCCGTGGAAAGGATTTATGGTTCCAGTCAAATCGATACATCCTCCTAATTCAAACAAAAAGTGTGGTCTATTCAGGTCGCTATTTTTACTTCAGATTTATAACAAATTTCCCCTGATTTTCACATAAACCTCTTGTTCATCAGCTTATAACTGAACGTTAACTCTTGAGATGAATTTGAACAAGGAATTTGACCCACGGTAATCGCAGGTTTCTGACCTCCTGCGTGGTTAGGGGAACTGCATAAATTTTCTCACGTATTTCACCAGGTTTTCAGAGGTGCATGTTGCTTTAACTTTGTACAGAATTGCTTAAGGCACAAATCTCATGCCTCACAATAGCTGAAAACCTTATACCTCGATAAGGGGAAATTTTCCAAAACACCATGCTTCCAATCATCCAGAGACGATAAAATGTGCGACTGATATTTTCAGGAACAATATGTTTTGATGATTGAGGAAAATGAAACCAGGATCTCAAATCGGAATAGAAATTTTCGTCAATCCAATCACTTGTTTCACGGAGGTTTGTTGGCTACCCATTTTCTTCGACCGGCATTCAACCCATTGTAAAACCATTGATAGATTCAAAACTTAACTCATATTAAGCAGTTACAACAAGTTTTATCAAATCGAGTTCCAAGCAGGGATCTAACACTTAGTTGTGAGATCAGAAACATGACAATTATTTATTTATTTTATACCAAAGCATATGTGTTCCGGCAGTGCAATGGATCAAACATTATGAGTAGAGAATCGATTGGTATCGCAGTGGAATCTTGCGTTGGTTGAAGGTCGATGACTATCTGACCTCATAATGCGACTGCACAAATTAAAGCGTTAAATTTACACATTTAATTTAAAATAACGATTAATTTTGTTTTATCTGGAAAAAATTTTCTTCCCAAGCAAATCGACGGCGTTTTAGACTAGTGAATCAAGTGTCATGTTTTGCCTCCTTATCTTGCGCGCAATCGTGTACCAGTTCACGTTGAACTAGGTAGTTTGTCCTCCATACGAGTAGATGATGCTTGTTCTCCTGCATTTTCGTGAACATTACTTGGTTCAATTGAACTCAGGTAGAGATTTGGATAAGTACTAATTCAAGTGGATACGATAAACACGTCTCGTCCGGTTTAGAACGTTCGAATTGGGGTCAATCAAGAGTAGTCAACGAGTGCATCGTAGTTTCCACCAAAACTGCAAACGCTTAAATTCATAATGTCCCGGAACTGCCCGGGAGCGAGGTTAGCAGATTATTGCTCTCACCTGATTCATTTTATCCCACTCAATGCGGATAGAACCACTTGAATACAACCCCCAGGCACAGTCAGATTCAGATATAAACCATTAGGACTAGAGTCCATCAATCCCCTCTGATGGTGTTTAACGTGTCTTAACTTAGTCGCGACGTATCTGGACCATCTATTCATTTAAAAATACAAACAGCAACCGTGGTTGATGAGTATTTACGACTGTAAAACAAAAGTTTCACCTATTATTTATTTGTAATATTTCCTGCGAAATCAGCCAGATCAAGCCGTTGGGACAAACGGTTGATGAGCACCAAAATATTTCATGATCTCTGATCAGCAAAATGTTCTAGGCGTATTCTCCCTACTTACACAAAAATATATTAGTTTCTTAATTGGACCACGTATCCTCGAACTTTTGGCAAAATTATTTCACTAGCACCATCAATTGAATTTCGTCACTACCTTCGATGAATGTTAGTAATAGTAGTAGTAGTAGTAGTAGTAGTAGTAGTAGTATGGAGCTCGTAGTGAAATAGCAATATTTTCCCATCCACTTCGGTCCCGCTTTCAGCTCAACTGTCTACGAAAC